CATCTATAATATGGTTTGTTGAAAATAACAATTCGTAAAACAGATTTCCACTAATGTATGTTTCTGTCGATGGACGCACATGCATTGATACAACAGCGATAATCAAAAAAACATGAACAAAACGGTCTCTCTTTGTAAACTTTGTTCAATGCGAGTGCCGTATACTCGAACATGACCAGTCATTTACGCAGTTAAGGCGAGACCTTAACAGCGTCACTATCTGTGTTTAAACTAAACTAATTTAACAGTGCCAATTTAAACATTCAAGAGCAAGACTGGAAAGAGAACTTGCGTGTGCTGAGAGAAGGTGTGTGTGTGCAGACTTTGCACTCATCCGAAGTGCGCACGCGTCTCAGACAGCATGCAAATATTGAGTTCTCTTTCAAGTCTTGCACTTGAATGGACAAATTCAAACAAAAATGATGTCAACATGTCCGTCTTGATGAGTATCCTAGCAGACTTAGGCTGTGTCCGAAATCTCCACTCAAACCACTACTCCCTAACCCCTATGTAGGGGGTAGGGAGTAGAGCACTATATAGTGAGCTCACCAGCATAATAGAAACACCACTTTCGGACACTACTCGATCGTCTCTCGGCGCCGTTGTTTAAACGCGCCATGATCTGTCAGCTGGTGCCGAGCCAGCTCTCGGCTAAATAGATTTTTTTTTTTTATAAATACATTACATTATATTGAGCTTATTTCTCCAAAATTGTAAAATTAAAAGTAATTTCTGGCCGTTTCTGTTATAATGCGTTACTCCACACATGATTATAACTTATAAACATAAATGAAATTAATACACATATTTCATATATTTTCATTTTCGCGCCACACCATTTTCTCTTGCCTGTCGACATTAAGGAAAAAAAAACAGATCTACGTTATCAAATATCTTGCTCATACTACTCTTAATAAAACAGCTTTTAGACTCTGGAGATGCCACTCAATATTTATCTTTTTTGTTTGTTTGTTCTCGTGATTCAGAAGATTTTGCGGATTAGCAAAAGAAACAGGATTTCTAGACACAGAAAACGATGTGCTGTTCTTGCTACGCTAGTGAGACGTCGTCAAATTGTAAGTTAAAGATGAAGATGATGCTGATAGGTCTTTTACGATCAGCGCAATGCATGATGGTATGTAGGGCTTGGGTTAGTGACCATCGGTTGTACACTACTTTTCAAAATGCATTCTGGGATACATTGAGTGGACTATATAGGGTATAATAATCATCACTATACATTCGGACAGCACTACAAAATGGCGAGCTCACTATATAGTCCACTATATAGTGAATAGTGGGAGATTTCGGACACAGCCATTGTCTGTTATGCCTTAAATGAACTTCGAGAAAGACAACTCATGTGTAACAGTACCTCAGTATTTTGTGTCTGTGCTTTGTCTTAAAGGGACAGCAGCCTAATATTCCTGCTGTCTGTGTTTTTAATGTTAATCAAACTACAAAAGACAAGGAAATCACTTACTGCTCGGGATTGAATAACTTTTGTAACTTTAATAAGGATTAATCTTTAACTTATACAGTCAAATATGCAATGTTATTTTACATTTAATTAGACCTACCTGAAAAGCACTGTTTATTTTATTAGTATATTTGCTCTATTGTGTTTATTTGTGCTGTTTCTTGTAGTTAGATTATTTATTTATTTTCCCTGAACATAGCAAATACCTAACCTTACCGAAACCGTGAACCTAAAACTGTGATACAAACTGAACCGTGATAAATTTGAACTATTGCACCCCTAGTAGCAACCAGCGTTCTGGCAAACATAATAGCATCATCTAGCCTAATGTTCCTATGTTCATTCTACACTTAGAAAAGTAATGGCACTCTCAATATCTCTTCAACAAGCTGCATGCTTTGGGATATCATTCGTGTCTGGCATAAATGTCTGTGACCTAAATACTTTAGGTGTTTGTTAGTAACAGTGCTCCTTCCCGTAGCACACAGCACTAATGATCACTTGCTACCACTTGATACAAGCAATCATTATGATATTATAGTGCCACCTTTCCCTAGATCCTCAACATGATGTTAAAGAACTTTTCATGATGGGAAACTCTAGGCCTTAGCAGGACAGTGCGTAATGAGAGCGTTTATAGGAGCTTTAATCCACTGGTCAGGCTGCTGGTCATGGAGCACAGCCAAAAGCGTTTCTTTTTTGCTTTCCGCCGTCTTCCATTTTTATCCAGCAGGGATATTGCTTCGTCATTACTCAACAGAGACGCATGACTGGAGATGTCATTTTTACAATCTCCCTGCAGTTCCTTCGTATGAAAGCAATTGATTTTCCTCCCTCTCGTCCACAAAAGAAGCTCCGCGCTCCCGCTGCCCAGCCATCCATTTGAATGACTAATGAAAAAAACTATTGGGTGTATAATTGAATATTGTGATTGAAGTCTGCTTAATAGTCTTTGCATAACACTGAGACATACAGAGCTAATAACCATGCATGGGCTATTCTGTGTGAAGCAGACTGAGCTTTCCCTCTGAGCGTGGCACTGGATTCGGGTGTTCTGTGCTGGCACAGGTACAACATTTCTAAATTTAAGGGAAGGGAATTTTTTTTTTTAAAAGCCCTGCCCTATTGGTTAGCCCATGTGCAAATAAAAGTGAATCAATTTAATCAAATAATTTATTTAATACATTCGTAACCCATTGTACATATATATATATATATATATGTGTGTGTGTGTGTGTTGTGTATATGTTTTTTAATTTAAAAAAAAAACTACAGTGGAATTGCTAACAATGGGTTAAAAATGTATATATATTAATCAAGGAGGTCTATTATCCTTGTAGAAAACGGTCCATTAGTATTCCCATTCATCTCAATCAAACTCCATACTTTTTTAGACGTTCCAAATTTTGGTAACAGGATTTCAAATATTGCAAGCCTCATATAAAATGAATAAAATATGAATGAATAGATTAAAACATCTCATATAATATTTAGTTTGACCTCTAGAGGTTGATTGAACATATTCTGAAGGTTAAGCACCTCTTTTCACATACCATTTGTCTGAAAGGGGGAAAAAAGTCTTTTTTCAGGTCCTATTTTTTGTACCCTCTTCATGCAGTGGATCAGCTGTAGATTACTTGAAGTCTTGATTAGGAGTTACAGACTGAACTCACTGGAGGAATAATATTAATTATAGACATTTTATGAGAAATGTTTGTGTGGTGCTGAATGCACTTTGACGTTCAGTGCTTTTAGAAGCTCAATTGATATTCAGCCAGTAACACATGTTGCAGTGAATTGTAAAATGGCTATGATTATGTAATCAGTATCTGAAGAGGCGGAGCTATAGCCAGTCAGGAAAGACCGTTCATTCCATTGAAGAGGCACCGAGGACAATTACAGTAGTTAGTTGAAGAGAGTCAGGTTGAGGGGCTCTTAATTGAAAAGGGAAAGTTAGAACGAAAGAATACAATTTATCTGTAGTGAGGTGAGATAAAATTAAAGAGTGCAGAAGTTTAGATGAATAGGGCTTTTAATGGTGGTCTAATTAGGCTTATTCAGTTGGAGTGGAAAAAGAGCATATTTCAGCAAACAATCAGAGAGAGAGAGAGAGAGCGAGAGAGCTCTCTCTTCAACCGTACGATGAAAATTGCCATATGTTTTCTTGCTTGTCAGTTTTAACGCGTAATTGCCTGTCTTGCCAGCAGAGCTCAGTTGGAAATTGCATTTCACTGGCAAACAATGCCCTCTAAACATGGACTGCCTGGTGAATGTTTATCTAAAGGTCCCCGGACATCTTTGATGCTTTCCGCAATGTATATTTGCAGAATGAAAGAATAAAATAATATGTGTAGAATGAAAGAGGAGTGTGTACCTTAAACAACACCGTGACAGAGACTAAGTATAACATCAGCACACTTATATTATAACTGTGGGTCTATTTATATAGACACTAGCTGCTATGTCATTTCTCCTAACCACACAGCAATTTCTTCAGGTTATTTTAATAGCAGTGTTTAGTTCACAGATTACTCACAGAGAACATTGTTTTAGGTTATTTGATTTTATTAGCAGTCATCCCCTTGGTGGTTATTTATTGTCATATGACGTCATTACTAGTTGTTATTATTGCCTAGTTTTGTTAACAAGAATTTATTTAAAGCTCTGTTTAAAAAAGTATACATTTTATGCATTTGTTTTAATATTTTAAAAATGCTATTTTATATATATATGTATATGTGTGTGTGTATTTTTTTATTATTATAAATCTATATTGAATTTTTTATTCAGCATTACATAGATTGTACTACACTGTGATCATTTCAAACTTTATTAGAATTTACCTAAAAGCACACAATATTCAATCCAGAAATGTAGCTATAAATATATATAATTGACTCCACTGAACAGTGTTGCATCAGTCTGCTTTTAAGAACCAGGCGCAGGGACATACTGTTCTGTGATGAAGAGCCAAGTCATTTTAATTCTCCACCTCTCTTCTCCATTCCCAAATCTCCGTCTGAGCACAATCCTACACCCAAACACCACAGATGAGCATCGTAAAGGAGGCTATAGCGAGAGCGGTGTCTATATATTGCACCGGAGTTCCCTTCTCCTTCATCTTCTTATATGATTATCCACATGTTCTCTTTCTCAAAGTTGCTCAAGGGCAACTTTGAAGTTACATAATTATATGCTGTTTTATGACAACCCTGTTTTTCTTTTTGTTCTGCACATCAAAGGTTCATTGGTACTAGCCTTCATCAGCAGGGAATTAGTTGAAAAGAGAACCACACATATTCAGCTCATCATAGAGTACCACAGGATTACCCCACCTTCTGAAGCTCTAACATGATTTAGCTCTAACATTAAAATGCAACACCATCATCCTTGATTCCTGCCTTATTTAAAAGACAGACATCCAGCCCCAGTTGGAATGTTCAGACTTAATCAGTTGATTTTGAGGGAAACAATTCAGCTGAATGGACTTAACTGTGTGTATTTCCTCTGTGTCGTATAGGAGAGCTGTACATTGGAGGTGTGGGGAAGAGCATGTACAACAGTCTGCCCAAGCTTATAGCATCGCGGGATGGCTACCAGGGCTGCCTGGCCTCAGTTGACCTGAATGGCAGACTCCCTGACCTGATCGCAGATGCTCTGCACCGTGTGGGCCAAGTGGAGCGAGGCTGTGAAGGTTAGTATACTGCTGCTCTGAACATAGCATATGACCCCTAACTAAAAATACATCTGTTTTATCTATTTTATAGCATCAGGGTGCACCTTATTTCAATTTTCAATTTTCCATCGTTGTTTAAAAAAAAAAAAAAATTGTATACTGTAAATCTGAAATAATAAAATAATTTTAAAAAATCCTTTTTTTTTTTTACATTGGATTATTATGGTGTGTGTGAACTTTCTATCCATCATCAAAGAATCCTTAAAAACAATGTACACAACAGTTTAACAGTTTTTACAGCATATTAAAATGATTTCTGCAGGATCATGTGACACTGAAGAGTTATGATGCTGAAAACTTAGCTTTGCCAACAGGAATAAATTGCATTTTAAAATATACTCAAATAGGAAACACTTTCACAATACTACTGTTTTTGCTGTATTTTGGATCAAATCATTGCAGCCTTTGATTAACTTTAATGACAGACAGTATTACTGGCTATCAACTTTAAGTCTGTTTTAATGGATTTCTGTTGACAAATACAGTGCCACGTTGTCCACACATTTTCCTGTTGCTGTCGTCATGATAATGATAGTGAACATTGTGAGATTGGAAACCTGTGTGAGTGTAGAAACTGTGATCGCCTGTGTGATTATAACCACCGATTCCCATTTCCTGTTTGTTTCAGCCGCCCCCGGCACAACCTGCATGGAGGACTCCTGCTCCAATCAGGGAGTGTGTCTGCAGCAGTGGGAGGGGTTTACTTGTGACTGCACTATGACGACATATGGTGGTCCCCTCTGCAGTGACCGTGAGTACCGTTTTGCTCTTTAGTAGGGATTAAACAGCTTTATTAAAGAGGCTTGTTTGGCCACATTAATAAGCCGTTCAAGGCTTCTCCTTTGATAATCTCTGAGCTAAGTGTTTGAAGTACTAAACGATGGTGCGCCGCAATGCAGTCTTTTTAATGTGCAGATAAGGCAGAACACTCTAATTAGTGAGGGCCACAAGATAATGTTCATAAAGAGCTAGTAATGGTTCAAGTGACCCCTGAACTGAAGGCTGGAAGATATGCAATTTCGGTTGCATCTTAAATGTTTAATTACACCAAAGCTTGGAGGTGGAACTTGTGGGGTTTTAATGTCTGTGATGCTGTACTTGCAATAAAAAATCGGACTGTGCTTTAGCTTCAAACAGACACTGGCATCGCTCACACGGCAGATTGTGTTTTTCTTTAATAACATCCCCATATTTTTGACAATAATGCTTTGGAGAACGGCCTAATGAGCTAAATGAAGATAAATAGGGTGAGCTGCTATAAATATATGTATAAAAAAAGAGCAAATAAGTGTGTTGGATGGTTTTAAACAACATCTTCATTAAACACCTGGAGAGATTTAAATAAGCTGTTTATTGTAGTTAAATACAATAATAATATAGAACAATACAAAATTAGTAAGGAATAATTTATGACAGGCCGTTGTATTATTTGAAAAATATTAGGAAAAGGAATTAATTATTCCTTATATTATATGATATTATTATAAATACACAATTAAATCATGAAATATTTATTGAAGTTACATTTTCTCAATTCACCCACCATTGACTGGTGTGGCAAGCTAATTCATCAGAAATGAAGCTAATCATTTACAGATTTCATATCTCTAGAGTCAGTGTGAATAAGGCATCGAATGTTTACGATGCTTATTTATCAGTACAATAATTAAAAGTGACCAGTATACAAGCAGCATGTGTAAACATTTGCCAAATTTATTATGCATGAACTATAGTGGCGTGGAGTTTGTCGATGCAGCAGATCTGAGAGTACAAAACAACTTCTGCACCGCTAACTCAATTAACACTTCAGACAATTATTTCACAGCACCGCATACCCGCAATACTGTAAAACATCTCAATCTCCATTATCAAAGTGATAATGATCTTTTATCAACATGAGGAGGCAATGTCATAGAAGCATAGTGAAGGTTGTTCTACATTCATACACTAGCAGAGAAAGACTCATAAACATGCTCAATCATATTATTTATAAAACAAACTAACAAACATATAAACATCTATCAGCAAAGAAAAAGGAGGCAAGTATTTAAAAGTTAAAGGATTTTGGAGCACTTTAATGTTGGATTTGGTGATTCGAATGTGATTTAGTCAATCATTGAGTTAATACTCGATTCACCTATAGTCATAATTACTCTACATAAACACAAATATTATTTTTTGAAACGTGGTTTAAACTGACAATACACAAGGCAAGTCCTGATTTAAACAGCCTACAAAATCATTCATGTTCTTCATTTCTTGTCATCAGATTGGATATTGGTAGATGAATTTTCATGGAAGTGTTGGTGCTTTTTGGTGCATTGACAGACGATTTGAATTAACTAAGCATCTTTTATAGCTAAAGCAGCAGTAGCACACCTGTTCATCCTCGTCCACATGAAAGACTATAGAGCAGGCTGCAGGTGTGAAAAAAATTACAATCCTTCAAAAGTCATTTTCACGCGATCAACACAAAATCCGGTGGGCAGCCACAGAGAGCTGGAGCAGCTTCACTAATGCATGACTCATTCTCTTCCTCAAATAGTGTGACAAAGGCAGTCAGTCATCTTTTTAGCCTGTCCTCTACAACACATACACACACACACACACACACACACACACAGACGCCCATACATATTTTTTTTCCCAGACAGCAGACATATGGGGAGAATAATTTTGGTTGACCTCGGTAATTAGAGTAGATTATTTAGGAATATCATTAGCACAAATTACGCCTGCTGCCTGTGTGACATCTCGCACATTTTCAACGACTTCCGAGCGCTTTTATTAGCACTCTTGCTTTTAGTAACAAGAAATGTGAGAGCCGCAGACAGTCATCCGATCTTTCCCAGACTGTTTCTACATAGGCATCGAATGTCACACAAATCCCACCGGAATATCCCGGTTGTATTGCATATGTCCTGTGTTGTAGAACAGCGTATTCAAGTGGCTGGATCTATGTTTCATACTTTGATTTCCTGTGAACGGTCACATCCATCACCCGAGGTCTAATTAAATGGCTTGTAATGTGTTACCCGTCCTGAGCCCTGTCCAAGGACACAGCACAGGTCCCTGTGAGTCTTAAGGGATTGCTCTTTCCTACTTCCTTTGTTCATTCAGGATTCACTCCATCCCTCTGTACCTTACATCAGACCCTCCAGCGGTGACCATTAAATTAAATAGATGCTGCACTTTCATGTCTGCTGTTTTGCCTTGCAGCCTTGGACTCTACTCTCACCTTTCTCTGCAAGCATCTGCTCAGCCAACCTTAGATTTTACATAGACTTTTCTGTCGTGCCCTGCACATAAAATGGGCCACGTTTCCTTGCAGAGGTAATTGTTCTTGTTGGGCAAAACTTTAAACAAAGCTCTTTCTTCTTAATGGTTCACTAAGTATTTCTAAGGTTTTACACCTAAAGAAAACCAGTGACTTGTTTAAAAGTACTTCTACTATGAGACATTTGTGCTGTTTCATATTTTTATGGAAACTGTGATTAAAAACAATTTCAGGATTCTTTGAAGAATGGAAAGTTAAATAAGCTAATAAATAAAATGTTTAACATTTAGATGTCTTTACTGTCACTTCAAACTATTTAATGCATCCTTGCTAAGTTTCCTTTTACAAAAAAAAAATTGTCTGCCCCATATCTTGTGAACAGTTAGTGTACATTTAAATATGTCCATTACTCAGTATATGTACTAAGAAATATGTATTCAGTATATTTAGTATAAATCTAATTATCTAATATATATATATATATATATATATATATATATATATATATATATATATATATATATATATATATATATTAATCTTAGATCAGTAAGTTCATACAATGGTTTCTCTTTTTTTATTATTGGTAATTTGTCTGAGTGCTGTATTGTTACATGAAGCAGAAGAATTACCAGTTCTTGGTGTCACCATACAAATTAATCTTTCATGGTGACATTTTCTGAAAGCCAATAGGATACCAGGGTCAATTGATCCATATAACCCTCAGATTCCTAGTGGAAGGTTCATTGTATGGAATATAGGCTTTTACCAATTGGACGTGCTCCAGTTGAGAACAGGATATGGAATTGACATATATGGGTCACCAAAAGCGGGACCTGATCTGGGAGGTAAAATACAATAAGCATGTCAGCAGTGTTTCAAGAAAATGATTGACATGAACTATTTCTCTAGTTTAATATTGAATATGGTTTCTGACCTGTGCTTTGTATGTTCATGCCGTGTAAGTTTTTTTGCCATTCATTTTGAGCTGCTTATACCTGTGAATATACTGTATGTTGAGCTGCAGGACTTGAGCTGATCTGGAAGGATGATGTCTTTAACCAGAGAGGTGATCTTAGGTTTCATGAGTTTTGCATTGACATCTGGAAACAAAGCCGTCTCACTAGGTATTGAGTGAGTGGAATGAAATCGGATTGTTTTTAAAGAAGCCTCTTTAAGCAGGAAAGTGAATGACAACACACACAAAAAAATAGTAAAAAATGTATTCAAAAAAGTATATAACATGTTTGGGTGATCTGGTTCATTAACCCTCTGGGGTCTAAGGTGTTTTCGGGGTCCTTGAGATGTTTTGGCATGCTCTGACATTTGTGCTTTTTTCAGTTGCTTATAAACATATTAATGGCACAGGTGAAATTACACTCTATATAGCACACACAGGGCTACCATAATATGTTATCAACATGTATGTACATGTTTGTATTTTTGAGAGAATATTGTGTATGCGTGGTTATTGAAAAAACTAAAAAATAAAGTTTCTAATATAAGGCCACAAATAACATACTAAATATCTGTCCACAAGACTTTTGACTAGTGGATGTTGTCGCCTTGAGTTTTTGCTTCAAATTGATCTGAAAATCATTCTGCCTAATCATTCACATAAAACAATAGATTGTTTTAAATTGTGAAAAACATTTTTTTGTTTGCAAAGGCAATATGCGGATGGGCGGATCGGCCCAACCCCCTCATGAATAATTAGGCAGTTCTCACCTGAGCAGACTGCATACTAATGAGCCTTTCATTCAGGGGTGTCACACAAGAAAGAATGCAAGGACAATATATATATAAATAAATAAATATTTATATACACACACACACACACACACACATATATATATATATATACAAACATATATATATATATATATATATACAAACAATCAAAATATAAATGAAAGCCAAAAGCACATTTTTAGTCACACCTTTTAGCCATCCACCGCGGTAAAAATAAACCAGTCGCATTTCAAAGTCGTACGCGAAATGACCGCCAGGTGGCGCAAAGGGACATTTAGCAAAACGTAAGTGGGGCTAATGTCTATTAACAGTAGCCTATAAGGATGAAATACTACAAGTTATGGTAATTTCCAAATAAGCCTACAACAAATTGTTGGTATAATCTATATAAGATATAATCTTTTAAAACTGTAAAAGGCTAAACACTCACAGGCTAAAGTCAAGACAAAACGTTTTCTCGCTCATGTGAGAAACAGACGTTTGGGTATCTCTCAGAGAGAAAATTCATAGCCGAGCGGTAGAACTTACGGTTCAGCACCAAGATGACACGGGTTCAAATCCCGCACAAACATGGTCTTCTGTAAATTTTGTATTTATTTAGATTTGTCTAGCTCTAAAACTCTGTTACACCATACAGTTTTTTTGCTTATATTTATAAAATACAATTATCATGCATTTCCATTTTAGACTAAGGAACAAAATAGTATCCAACAGAACGACTT